TATGAGTGTGTGTGTGTGTGTGTGTGTGTGTGTGTGTGTGCGTCCACGTGCGCTTGCGTGCGCCCCGAGGTACTTTTGTTGATTTGCCTTACTATTTTTTTGTCTACCAAAGAAACCAATCTGCTGAACGATTTTACGACCGTTCCCGACTAGCTTTTCATATATATGTGTACCATGCGCAATAGAGCAATAGACTAGCACGAACGCTTAATGTCCCGCAATCCATTAACTCGTTCGTTCTTCTACGCCTGGTTGATAGTGCCGCTACTTGTGAGGACTGAGGGCTGTTTCATATCTATAATATTTTTTGTTCCGTTTATTTTATATGCAACTGTAAAAGCAATTTTCATAGAGATAGGATTCAGACAATCAAACACAGTCCGGGAAAGTGATGAGTTGAGAAAATTTGTCACAGGTGGTGGAATTCGAGCACACCATTCGTGAACCCAAGCCTGGAGCACTTTTATCTTGTGATCAGCATCAGTGACTAAACGACGATCCATTGTGTTCTAAGTCCGTCGCGGTAGCAACAAAAATGTGCTACCCTATTAGGACACCAATAAAGTTTGAACCAGAATACTATTTGAATCTCTGATCGGAATTTGAAATCTTTCCGGTCGCTGTATACTTTCAAACGAATGATGGTTTTCCTCGAGTACAGAGTAAATAGGGCTTGAACTGAAGAGCTAGAAAGCGTTATGCAGCTGTTTCGATCTGATTGTGTCACTTCAGCAACAGCGAGAAACCATTGATCCAACCGACGGTTGTAAACCCGGAAACTCACAGTTAGATCGTAAGCACATAAACGTACTTGAACACTGGGTAACGGATGAAGCAGTTACGCTGTGCCTATACACTATATTAGCGAAACCCACTTTGCAAGCCTGTTTGGGGTATCTAAACCTCGTTTACTTTCCCTCTATTGTCTGATGCTATGGCTCAGAGGAACCCATTCCGAAAGTTACTGTATTGATTGTTTAAACAAACACACAGACTCTTTGCTATGTGGTTGTTCCGGATGACTGAGTGATGTAGTTTTGCTACTTTCCATGCGACTGTCATTGAACTAATCAGTACTCACACAAATACCCACCACATTTCCTGTATCCGACACTTCTACGGCCTCACTGCAATTCTTTTATTACTGCATTTGCATTAACGCATGTATGGGCTGCACGGTGAAACAACTGCCTTACAGAATTGAATCTTATTTTTAAGGTATTTAGTTTTTGGCCCTGAGTTCATGGTTTGAGTCCAAGCAAGAGCGGAAAAATGCAGCTCACCGTGCCTGGGTGTCGCAACAAAGTAAGATTCAAGTCTTCAGTGCTCACTGTTGGCCATGCCACAATACTTTCCGTCATAAAAACCATAGACAGCAACCTTTGACCAATTTATAGAGACCAACCAATTGATGGTCTAATGAAACGGTATTTATTGCTCAGAAATTACAGATAACGCTCAGGCGTGCGTATAACAGAATTTTTAATTATTGTTATTCGAAGAGGATAGTGAACCTCAATTCTTGCATAGTACTGAAAACTTGAGGTGATCGTAGCTTACCAGATGACGCATACCATGGAGCAACACTTTACAGTTTTTTTCGGACAACTGTGATCAACTATGCCTCCCGGGTGACGTCAGAAAAGCGCGTACGTATCACAGCGTCTAGACTACGAACCACAGACCGATGGTACCAACCAATCAGAAGCCGTGCGGCCCAGGCAGAAGCTAAACGATGCCAGAAATACTAGCACGCGATTGGCAGAGGCTTAGATGACTAATGAACTTGTTTTGCANCCCCCCCCCCCCCGCGCCTGATTTCTTTCAATAGACGAACTGCCCTTCCTGTGGCCTTCTCCTCGCATCCCCGTTCCGTGGGATACTGCGTGCAAGTACCAGTGTGATCCAGTGCTTACATTGCGTTCGTGAATTCTAATTCATGATTCGTATTTCATGAACAGTGCGTACTACTAGTACTACAACTACTACAAAACTCTTTCATTGGCATAGGTTGCCCCGTCCATTGGGTCATAAAAAATTTCAACAGGGCTTAATACAAGACTTTGAACAAACCAGTCAGTGCTTTTCGTGTTTTGATACGACTTGCACATTTTACTAACGTCAGCTGTACTTGTGACGGTGATATATTTCTGAGCAAACATGGAAAACCATCGAAATTCCATAAAAACTGGGAAAAGGAAGCTAGTCACAGTTCTGGCGGGTGATTTGCAGTGAGTTCTTTTTACCGTAATCGGGTATTTTTGAACTGTTTTGTTCAATCGGTAACAAGAAATTGATTTACCCAATACAACCTTCATGAAGCATAACGAATAACACATGTATTTGTGAATCGGTAAATTCATTTTTGTTTATCCTTTTTTACTGAGCTTCCCTCACCCTTCCAGTGATGCTTTGTACGTATCAGCTCCTTGTGGATAGAACCAAAAAAGACCCTAATCTATCCTGCTCTGACTCCATCCACCGTATGTACTGTTCCATTGTGCAACATTATTGAATCCACTATAACATAACGATTCCGTGATGTACACCTTCTCTCATGTTTGGTTTCTATGCAGCAATATAGCTCCAATGAGACTATATTTTGATTTTAGAGAATTTTGTCACCGCCACTTTTACATGATTAAGGGATTATTACTAAACCCAATTACAACTCAACTAGTGAGATCAGGTAAATATTTGTTGTTTTGTTCGACAGGAGACACATTGGAAAAATATATTCGAAAAATAACAGGCTGCTCGAATCTCCACTTCTGGAAAATTGTGAGTAAATCCCCTAAAAACAGTTTGCATCGTCCGCTTACCTTTACTAAGTGGTATGACTATGCTGGCTTTTCTAGTGTTCGTTCGACAGCAACAACATTTGGCTTCTCGTACCAGGCGTGTTTTCGATTCCCGGTCCAAGCAACTTCGTCGTTCTTATTTACGTTCCATATTCTCATGCACACGTCTGTACTCTTATGTTTTTGGCGTTGAATGATGACATGGGTGCCGTATTCCAGCCGAATAATGCCGCAGTCCACAACTAACATTTGAACACACGCTGTTCATCAGTCTGTGATATCAAACTAATGGCACGGTCTAACTGTAGCTCAGATCTCAAACCAATGAAGAACACCTGGGGAATTCCGGCTGCAATGCTGCATCGTAATTTAAGAGCACATTATTCTAAAGATGAAATATAGATCCAGACCCAAAATGGAAATTAGCGTCTAATGGGGAGAAACGTGCTCCGATACCTCACAGAAAGTATTTCCCAATGTTGTATTAAGGTTCTGCAACAGAATGGCCACTTCGTACAATACAAGTGTCCACCATTCGTAATTGNGACTTTCTATGTAATAAAAGATAAGTAATAGAAATATTACATATAGGCTTTTAACTCGATTACTGTAGGAGATGAACAAAAAACAACAACACTGCAATAGAGTCCGATTTAGTGCCGGAATCATTTCGCTGCATCTCAGCTGGTGCTTACTGCAGAAAAAAATAGTTTATATATCAAAGGGCAAGACCGGCCACCAAGACGATCGCTAGACTTCGTTTCGGGTTTTTTATACAAACCCGAATGGATGAATGCCAAAATGTACAAAGGCCATAGCGCAAAAAGCATCACATCAGTCTGGTATTGTCCTGGTGACCACGTAGACAGAAGAGTGAACTGATACCATGTTAGACCGTCATGCCCTATGATACATAAACTATTTTGTTTCTACAACAAGCACTAGCTAAGATGCAATGAAATGATTCCGGCATTAAATTGCGCTCTCTTGTAGTATATATATATATATGCTCAAGAAGCAGGTGGAATCATTTTTATCAACTCAAAGAAATTTCGTGCTTCACGCTCGGCTGATTGAGTAAATTTTAGAAAACGAAAAATTAACATTTGAAGTCCATAGTGTGCTATCACGGGAACGAAAGTAACTGGTTCTTTTGTGGAAGGTCAAAGTCGAATGCTTGCTTGTTTATTACGTGAGTTGACAAAGCAATTAGCGATAATTCCTATTGGTCTGTTTAGGAGAACAGCATAAAAGTGGGATTCGTTGTTTTTTGGAACTGTTGTTCCTTGTAACTGTTTTTTAATCTCTTCTGTAGCTGTCAAAATGAACATTGATGATTAATAGTTTAATGGACGGCAAAACTTACCGCATACTGTCCCATTGAGCGTTACTCAGTCTAACCTCGAAAAACCAAGTTGCTTTCTAATTGCCTGATCTATTATTCACCGTTCCCAGTACGAATTATTGGAATAGAAATTGAAGAGAGTGGGAACCAACTCAGCGATGTCATCACTTTTGGCCGATTGAACACTCACTGTCTGATACAAATAATAAGTCAAATCATCATCG